GTGGCGTAGTAGTTAAGGCACTAGATTCTCACATAATTGACCACTGTTTGAGTCCTAGACCTGGTGGCTTGCTTTCCACTTTCTCTCTCTCCCCCTGTCTCTCTCTGGTGAGCACATGTGCCCTGCAGCAAATTAAAATAATAATAACAGTAGTAGTAAATAAAATGAAATAATTCTTTTAAAAAACATTTATTTACTTAATTTTATTTGTTGTTATTAATTTTTTTAACTTGATGCGAGTAGAGAGAGAGAGCAAGCTGCTAGGTCTGAAACTCAAACAGTGGTTGACCATGTGGGAGTCAGCACTTTAACTACCACACCACCTGCCAGCCCTCAATAAATAATCCTAAAAAAAAAAAAGAAAAGAAAAAAAAGAAAATTAAAATGGCCCTAAACTTTCATCCTTTGGGAGTCCCAAAGCCTAACTAGTTTGTATAAAATTCCTCTCCTCCACACCTACCATAATGTCTTGTCACATACACTTCCCCTCCCCTAACATCCCCAATGAGAGAGAAAATGGAGTCAATTGCTGTGGAGTAAAAGTAGATGCCTCTAAAACTGCGGTTCAATTTCGGAAAACGTTAAGATGGCGGACCAAAAGAATATTTGATGAGACGTATTGAGAAGAACCCATCTTACTGCAAAAAATGCTCTCAATAGGGTCAGAGTTCTTGGCTTTTTATTACTCTTCTGAAGAATCTTAGCAGAAGATAAGATAATACTTACATTATGGCCAGAACACTGTACGGAGCCTCCCAGGTGGGCCAAAGGGCTTGTTTAAGTTCTTATCTATATGGACTCTGCCTCTCTTCAAGGTATACCAAGAAGGAGCAAGAATTTCCCTGAGATATTTGTTAACTATAAAGTTTTTATTTTAACTGCTAGGAATGCAACCTTTAACCATGGAATACATGACAAGGTTTATAAAACATGTTTGTGGCAGAAAATTGTGTTTGTTCATTCACTCTAAAAAAAAAGTTTGTTTTATAGAAATAAGTTAATTCAGCTACATTATAAGTGAAATTGACATCCTTGTGATCAATAACCCACCATGAAATTACAGCTGCTCGCCTGTCTGGGGTTAAATAATGGGTTAATAAGCCATGTGAGTTGAGGCCCAGAGGTTGAGTAGCTCCCCCAAATCATGCAGCTAGTAGGTATCAGGGCTAGGACTCAAACCCTTAGTCTATTCCAAAGCTCAGGGTGGAAATGAGCTTTATAAATAAGTACATTTCTAGACTCTTGTGCTTTACTGTTTCAAGGGTTGTTTTACTTCTCATCTAAAATTTCTTTTAAAATATGCAAGGTCAGTAGGTGGTGTGGTGGTTGAAGCTCTGGAACTCCCATGTGGCTAACTGCGGTTGAAGTACCAGACTCAGCAACTTGAAAATCCCACTGGGCGCAAATGCATGTGTGCCCCAAACCCCAAGAGGAGAATGGAAGAGAAAGGATTGTGGTATTGCCATCCCCCCTGGGGGACTGATTTCTCACTTTCTCTCTGCCTCTCTGGTGAGTGTGTGTGCCCTATAAGCAAAATCTCTCTCTAAAAAAGAGATGAGAGAGAGAGATGTCAGGTCAGCAGGTAGTGTGACAGTTAAGGTGCTAACCTCCCACATAGCCAAGCAGTTCGAACCAGACTTGGAGGCTTGCTTTCTCACTTTCCCCCTCCTCTCTGGTCAAATTAAAATAATAATAATAATAATTAATAAAATTTTAAAAATAATTCTTAAACAAACAAACAAAAATGGTTTGACCCCTCTCCCAGGAATTTGGATTCTGTAGGTCCTGGATAGGCCTGAAAGTCTACATTTCTGTCAACTGCTAAGGAGACAGTGCCAGACTGGGGACCACACTTTGAGAAGCACTGGGCTAGGCCACCACAGGTGAGAGAGTCTTCAAATGCACAATGCCTATCTCAACCCCTTCCCTACCTTGCTCTCTAGAATTTCTTCTTATTGTTTTTACTGATCGTGTTGGGTTCTTGTGTTTCTCTGCTTTTATTGCCAGACAATGCATACCCTCAAAGAGAGAGAGAAAGTGAGAGAGAGAAGAAGCACCCCTCTATAGGGCATGGTCATGCTGCAATCCTTTCCCTCCACTTCTTCATCCTGTCAGGAATTTGGGCATGCACTCATATGCCCAGTGCATTTCTCAAGCTATTGGGGCTGAAACTTAAGCCATGGTCAGCCATGTGGGGTCCTGTCTCTATGCACTGCGTTTAACCACTGTGCTATGGGGCCAGCCTGATAGAGTGTTTTAATGTATAGCTTTCTTACTTTTTTCATGAGTACCAGACTTATCACCTATATTTAAAAATTCTTAGGTTCACAGAACAACATAGTCTCTGTTAAGTCTCATAGTTATGTGTCATTTAATGACAATTATTGATTGGTTGACCAAATGTTAAGAGATAAGGTCATTTTTTTCTCTCATTTATTTATATATTTATTTGTTGATTTTCAAGCCACTGGATCCAGGACTCAAATCTTGGTCAGTCATGTGGGAATCCAGCACCTTAACTACCATGCCACCTGCTACCCCTCCCCCTTTTGTTTTTTTGAAGGTTTTTTGCTATAGGGCACGTACGCTCGCCAGACAGACAGAGACAGACAGAGAGACAGAAAGCGAGAAATCACCCCCCAGGGGAGATGGCCACACTGCAATCCCTTCTCCTCCATTCTCCTCTCGGGATCTTGGGCATGCACGCACATGCACCCGGCATGAGTTTTAAACCACCGGGTCCGGGACATGAACCACGGTCGACTACGTGGGAGTCCAGCGACATAGCCATTACGCTAATTGCTGATCCCCTACCCCCCCTTAATAACATTTTCCCCTTTATTTATGATAAAATGTGCATGTATACACACACGAGAGTGTGTGTGTGAGAGAGAAATGAGCACCTGAATGATGTGATCCCCTTTCTCCCATTCTCTAGTCTGTCAGATCCTGGGCACTTGTGTGTATGCCAGGTGTGCCTTAATCTTACCAGGAGACTTGAACCGTGGTTGCCATGTTGGATCTGGCCTCCCTTGGACAGTGGACCTCTTAAAGACAGCACCCTCAAGGGAGTATTGACACCAAAATCCACTACCATCCTTTAGTCAGCCCCATATCATGGGCAAATATGTGCCTAGCATATTCACAGAGGTCTCCAGACTTGAATCAGGAACAGTCCTACACGGAATTGTCTTGCAGAGCTTCACATTTTATCACTGCACCACTGTCTGGCCTCTTATCAGGGTCTTGTTATAATGATCTTCTAGATATCAATCCAAGGTTTCATGTGATTTGTGTGACTAAGATTCAGGTATATCTAGGTTGAAATCCTGGCTCACCCAGCACGAGGTCAGTAACTTCTAGCAAGTCACAATGGGTGAGTAAACTCAAAGTTCTTTTTTCCTTAATCTCCACATATAACCCATCATTAATCTGGTTGACTCCACTCTAAAATATATCTGCCTGGATCAACTGTTGCCTCCTCAGAGAGGAGTTTCCTTGGAAACTCTATTAGAAGAAGCAACTGCCCAAGGCCAGCAGGTGGCACGGTGGTTAAGGTGCTAGACTCCCACATGGCCAACTGTGGTTCAAATCTTAGACCTAGCAACTTGAACTTCACACCAGGCACATTGTATGCATCCCCAAAATCTCAAGAGGAGAATGGAGGAGAAGGGATTGCAGTGTGGCCATTCCCCCCCCAGGGGGTGATTTCTCACTTTCTCCTTCTGTGTTTCTGGTGAGTGCACGTGCCCTATAGCAAAAAAAAAAAAAAAAAGAAAAGAAAAGAAAAGAAAAGAAAAAGAATTATCAACTGCCCAGCATTCCCTTTGCTGTCCCCTTGTGCATTTTCTTTACAACACTTAGCACAATCAATAATGTTCCCATTTATTTATTTATTTCTATCTACTTCTTCCACCACTAGAATCTAAGCCCTACTACAGCAGGTATACTATATATCTTTTCTCTTATGGATTGTCAGTGTCTTCTAGAATAAGGCTTTTCAAGTGCTCACTGAATGCATAAGAGAATAAATAAATGAGTGAATGGATACATTTCTCTGAGCGTCAGTTCCCTCATCTTGTAAGATGGAAATCACAATGATAGTACCTACCTCATAAGGTTGCTTTGAGGAAGAACTGAGGTAATACGTGTATAAAATAAAATTAGTGAACACTTACTCACCTGCCATGTGCCAGGGGCTGCTTTCATCCTTAAGAACTTTTCCCATTTTACAAGCGAGAAAATGGAGGCAAAGGGAGAACTAAGTAACTTAGCTATGGCCGCACGGTTCATAAGAGCCAGAACTCAGGCCTGGGCAGTCCAGATCAGAGTCCACATGCATAACCATCACTCTCTGCTATAAAACTCTTTTCATAGGGACTGTCTCTGAGCAAGTGCAGAGAAACGCTGGTTGTCTTAACTCACGTGTTCTTATACATACGTCAAGCCTTGCCCAACAGCTGTATGTTTTCTAACAAACACAACCCCCAAATTCCAGGTTTCATTCCCATGACCTTTCTCCAAGCCTTGTGCCCCTTTCCTGAAAGCCACACCAGTGACCGTCTAGGTTCTTCATCCTACATGGGCTGGAACAGCGTAATCCCAGAATCTAGCCCTATGGATGGAGCCCCCAGTTCCCTTCCCCAATTCTATTTTTTTTTTTAATGCGGGGGTGGGAGAGGTGGGTATTTTTTATAGGGTCTCACCTTTGCAGTCTCCTGCTAAGCCTCCCAGGTAGCTAGGATTGCGGACACACACAATGCTCTGCCTGTTCAGGCTGGTCCAGGATCTGAACCTGGGCCTCCCACGTGGCCCCCGCCATGTGCAGAGGTGCTCTACCACTTATGCTGCCATAGCAGATCCTCTTCCCCAACTCTTCACTCCTAATCCAAAGGGTCCTAAATTATTTTGATAAAACTTCTGAGCCATCTAGCTCACCATTTCATCCAACCCTTTCTTTACTTCTGTGTGCTAAAGATAATGCTGAAGGATAAGGCATAAAGAAGGGAGCTTCCTGCTTATACTCCCCTTCAGGTCATCACAGCCCTAGAGGATACGGAAGAGAGCTCACAGATTGAGAGGAAAGGGAGGAGCTTTCTTCTCTGAAGGTCACTAGTTCCTGACATCACAGGGATTCCCAATAGCATAGCCCGCACCTCAGTATTGTTTATCCCCAGGGCACAAACCAATCCCTTTATTAAAAACTAACAAGCAGGGACCAGTAGGTGGCATGGTGGTTAAGGTGCTGGACACTCCTACATGACTGACCACGGTTCGAGTCCTGGACCTGGTGGCTTGCTTTCTCACTTTCCCTCTCTCTCTCTCTCTCTGTAACTCTCTGGCCAAATTTTTAAAAAACTAAAAAAATGAATGAATGGATAAAAGTAAATAAATAATTCTTTTAAAAAAACTAACAAGCAGAGATTAAGGCAAATACTTCAATAACCTTTGAAATCCTCTGATTTAAAAAAAACATTATTACTTGTTTTTAGAAAGAGATTTTAGCTATAGGGCATGTGTACTCACTGGAGAGACAGAGAGACAGAAAGCAAGAAATCATCCCCCCCTCCAGCGGGGATGGCTGGACCCCAATCCCCTCCTTTCCATTCTCCTTTCGGGATTTTGGGTGCTCACACACATGCACCTGGCGTGAGTTTTAAGCTGCTGGGTCAGGGACTCAAACCACAGTCGACTACATGGGAGTTCAGCAACATAACTGTTATATCATCTGCTGGTCCCTAATTTTTGTTTAAAAACAAAAAACAAACAAACAAAAAAACGATGTACCATTGGGCCAAATTTACCAAACCACTGAGAGTACTCTTTACATGAGACTTATGGAAACTGCCATCTGGAACCACAAGACTTAAGCACAGTTTGTGGCTTCGAAAATATAGTTCATGGGACCAGCAGTTAGTGTAATGGCTATGTCGCTGAACTCCCATGTAGTCGACTGTGGTTCGAGTCCCGAATCTGGTAGCTTAAACTCGTGCTGGGCGCATGCGTGTGCATACCCAAGATCCCGAGAGGAGAATGGAGGAGAAGGGATTGCGGTATGGCCATCTCTCTGGGGTGTGATTTCTCACTTTCTATCTCTCTGTCATCTCTCTGTCTCTCTCTGTATTTATGGCGAGGGTACGAGCCCTATAACAAAAAAAAAAAAAGAAAGAAAGAAAGAAAGAAAGAGAAAAGAAAAGAAAAGAAAAGATATAGTTCAGGCACAGGCCTGGATGGGTCTCCACTCAATTTGGCCTGGGTCACTTGCAGTACTTGCCCATTGGACCAAGGTTAGGAAACAGCATAGAGCCAGTGGATGGTGGGACGGAGTCTTCTCAGTCCAATCAGGAAGGACTGGTGTCGCATTCTCTTGGGCAGTCAGTAATATGTTTGAAACACTTCACAGGGACTGACACACTGACCTCTCTTCCCAACCATCTGCTCACCTGGGAAAAGGACACGACTGACCATACCAGGGAACACCATTATGAAAAGTGGCAACACCTTCAGGTATGCGGCCATCAGAGAACCTCCTTTGGCATGAGACAGGTTCTTGGCAGCCAGAGTCCGCTGAACAATCACCTGGAAAACAGCGAGGGTGGTTGGAAGCTGAGATGACTTTCTCTCAAGTCAAACTACGTGTGCAAGACTTCTTGGAAGATGTCCTAGGCTTAGAATCTTGGCTTCTCTTTGAATATCTCTTTTCTATTCTCAGTCCCTCACTCCCATACTGTGCCTTCCCTACTCCTTTATCCAGGGGTTGGATTTGGCCAATTAGAGTCTCCACAGCATCATTTCTTCTCTCTGACTGGTTAAGGAAAAACATGTACCCAAGGTAGTCCAAAGATAACTCACCATAGAACGTCTTCCTAAAGAAGATAAAGAAGGGCTAGTAGGTGGCGTAGTGGTTGAGGTGCTAGGCTCCCACACGGCCAACTGTAGTTCAAGTTCCAGACCCAGTGGCTTCAAACTCATGCAGGGCGTGTGTGCAAGTATGCCCAAAATCCCAAGAGGAGAATGGAAAAGAGGGAATTGTGGCTTTTTTATTTTTTTATTTTTATTTTCACTTTCTCTGTCCATCTCTCTGTCTCTCCAGCAAGCACATGTGCCCTATAGTAGAAATCTCTCACACATACAAAAAATAATAATAATAATAAAAAAAGTAAGGAAAACAGGCACTGTACCCCCTATAGCCTCCATTAGAACTGCCAGCTCATTAAGACTACTAGGTTGAGTCTGGCTCAATGGTGCAGTGGTAATGTGCTGCTCAAGAGCAGCCAGACCCCCCATGACAACCATGGTTTAAATCCCTGGTCTGTCACTCAAGAGAATGCTCAAGGGCAGCCAGACCCCCCATGACAAGCATAGTTTAAATCCCTGGCCTGTCACTCAAGAGAGTGCCCAAGATCTGACATGCTGGAGGACTGGAGGAATGGAATTGTAGCATGACCAGATGCTGTGGAGGGTGCTTTTCTGTCTCTCTTCCTCTCATGTGCACACACAGTTTCTATCACAAAGAAAAAATACTAGTAGACCTATTATTGAATGTATTGCACTACATAATGTTCAGTGTTGAAAACAATACAGATGTCTATGTCCTTGGTATGATTACTACACACTGTATGCATGCTTTGTAAAACCATACTGTGCACGACAAAGATGTACAATGATTATTTGTAAATCAGGAAACATAATTTAAAAGTTATTCTTGAAAATTGAAAACATTCAATTGATGGGCAAGTTAAATAAAAGATTACTATAACATAAATAAAAGAAAAAGAATTGTAACTGTAAAGGTAGCTTAGAGCTGCAGGCTGCATCTTGTTGGGAGATCCTCCTTCAGACTGATGTCATCTAAGAGGGAAAAAAACAGCCAATGGAGAGAGAGAGAGAAACTTTCTGATGATCCAGGATAAGTCCCTTCATCTAACTGGGCCAGGTCTGGTTTCTGTGTGCCAACTCTGGAGACAGCTTAGTTTCAATTCTTTCTCAACTTCCTGGCTATGTGACCTTAGGCAACCTACTTCACTTCCTTTGCCTCAGTTTTCTCATCTATAAAATGGAAATATTTCTAGGGCAGTTGTGACCATTAAATAAAGTAAAAATACTTAGGTTACTTAGACTCTGGGGATGGTAGGTGGCATGGTAATTTTGTTTTGTTTTGTTTTGTATTTTTGAGAGTTTTTTGCTGTAGGGCATGTGCACTTGCCAGAGAGAGAGAAAGCGAGAAATGGGTTGGATTTGGCCAATTAGAGTCTCCACAGCATCATTTCTTCTCTCTGACTGGTTAAGGAAAAACATGTACCCAAGGTAGTCCAAAGATAACTCACCATAGAACGTCTTCCTAAAGAAGATAAAGAAGGGCTAGTAGGTGGCGTAGTGGTTGAGGTGCTAGGCTCCCACACGGCCAACTGTAGTTCAAGTTCCAGACCCAGTGGCTTCAAACTCATGCAGGGCGTGTGTGCAAGTATGCCCAAAATCCCAAGAGGAGAATGGAAAAGAGGGAATTGTGGCTTTTTTATTTTTTTATTTTTATTTTCACTTTCTCTGTCCATCTCTCTGTCTCTCCAGCAAGCACATGTGCCCTATAGTAGAAATCTCTCACACATACAAAAAATAATAATAATAATAAAAAAAGTAAGGAAAACAGGCACTGTACCCCCTATAGCCTCCATTAGAACTGCCAGCTCATTAAGACTACTAGGTTGAGTCTGGCTCAATGGTGCAGTGGTAATGTGCTGCTCAAGAGCAGCCAGACCCCCCATGACAACCATGGTTTAAATCCCTGGTCTGTCACTCAAGAGAATGCTCAAGGGCAGCCAGACCCCCCATGACAAGCATAGTTTAAATCCCTGGCCTGTCACTCAAGAGAGTGCCCAAGATCTGACATGCTGGAGGACTGGAGGAATGGAATTGTAGCATGACCAGATGCTGTGGAGGGTGCTTTTCTGTCTCTCTTCCTCTCATGTGCACACACAGTTTCTATCACAAAGAAAAAATACTAGTAGACCTATTATTGAATGTATTGCACTACATAATGTTCAGTGTTGAAAACAATACAGATGTCTATGTCCTTGGTATGATTACTACACACTGTATGCATGCTTTGTAAAACCATACTGTGCACGACAAAGATGTACAATGATTATTTGTAAATCAGGAAACATAATTTAAAAGTTATTCTTGAAAATTGAAAACATTCAATTGATGGGCAAGTTAAATAAAAGATTACTATAACATAAATAAAAGAAAAAGAATTGTAACTGTAAAGGTAGCTTAGAGCTGCAGGCTGCATCTTGTTGGGAGATCCTCCTTCAGACTGATGTCATCTAAGAGGGAAAAAAACAGCCAATGGAGAGAGAGAGAGAAACTTTCTGATGATCCAGGATAAGTCCCTTCATCTAACTGGGCCAGGTCTGGTTTCTGTGTGCCAACTCTGGAGACAGCTTAGTTTCAATTCTTTCTCAACTTCCTGGCTATGTGACCTTAGGCAACCTACTTCACTTCCTTTGCCTCAGTTTTCTCATCTATAAAATGGAAATATTTCTAGGGCAGTTGTGACCATTAAATAAAGTAAAAATACTTAGGTTACTTAGACTCTGGGGATGGTAGGTGGCATGGTAATTTTGTTTTGTTTTGTTTTGTATTTTTGAGAGTTTTTTGCTGTAGGGCATGTGCACTTGCCAGAGAGAGAGAAAGCGAGAAATCACCCCCAGGGGGGATGGCCATGCTGCAATCCTTTCTCCTCCATTCTCCTCTCAGGATCTTGGGCATGCATGCACATGCGCCCGGCATGAATTTAAGCCACCCAGTCCTGGACTTGAACTGTGGTCGACTACATGGGAGTCCAGCGACATAGCCATTATGCCAACTGCTGGTCCCAAGGTGGCATGGTAATTAAGGCATTGAATTACCACATATAAAATTAAATAATTAGGGACCAGCAGGTGGTGTGGTGACTAAGGCACTGGACACTCCTACATGGTTGACCATGGTTTGTGTCCTGGACCTAGTGGCTTTCTCTTTTTCTCTCTGGTCGAAGTAAAATAAATGAATGAATAAATAAAATTAAATAAATAATTAATTTTAAAATTAAATAATTAAAAAATGTTTTTAAGAGAGATTTTTGCTATAGGGCATATGTGCTTGCCAGAGAGACAGAGAGAGATAGAAAGCAAGAAATCACTACCCCCCCCCAGGGGAGGGGGGATGGCCACGCGGCAATTCCTTCTCCTCCATTCTCCTCTTGGGAATTTGGGCATGCAGGCACACGCCCCTGGTGTGAGCTTTAAGTCACCAGGTCTGGGACTTGAATAGCAGTTGACTGCTGCATGGGAATTCAGTGATGTAACTATTATGCCATCTGCTGGTCCCATAAATGCAGCATACTTCTTATTGCTTCATTAAAGTACTGGAAGAAACGAACAGGAAAGCATTTATATTGAGTCATTAGAAAAGCCATGACTCATTTTTGCATAGAAAAATAAGTCATGACTTTTCCAACAACCCAATAGCTTCGTAAATCAAAGCCCTTTCTATTGGAGATCCAAAGCTGTGATTGAAAAGAATTCTGTCTTCTATTATCATGAAACACAATCTCCAAAAGTGAATTTAAGAGGCAATAAACACATTTTAAGAGGGTTGTTGATCCAGTCAGTAGTGTGGCAGTGGTTAAGGCAGCTGGATCCCACATGGCCAAATCCAAGACTCAGAGGCTTGGAAAACACAGAGGCAATAAACACATTTTAAGAGGGTTGTTGATCCAGTCAGTAGTGTGGCAGTGGTTAAGGCAGCTGGATCTCACATGGCCAACTGTGCACTTCAAATCCAAGACTCAGAGGCTTGGAAAACATGCTGGATGCATGTACATACATACTCAAAATCCTGAGAGGTGGGAGAAATGGAGAAGGGATTATGATATGACCATGCCCCATGGAGGGTACTTTCTCACTTTCTCTCCCTCTGTCAACTGCATGTACCGTGTGGCAATTTAAAAAAAGAGAGAGAGAGAGAGAGAGAGAGAGAGAGAGAGAGAGATGGTTGTGACTCATCCTCAGAGTTTCAAGCAGGAGGGTGCTGAACACAGTCGTTGAGGCCACATGGGAGGCCTGGTTTTGGTTCTTGGTCCAACCTAAATAGGTTGGGTATGTACCTATGGTGGTGTGTACCTAGGCATGGTTGCACGTGTGCGCCTGGTACATTTACAGAGGCCTCTAGACATGAATCTCTCCATGTGGATTGGCCTCACAGAGCATCATGTTCCCCTTGTACCAACATCTAGCCCCAGGTCACTTTTTTCCCAACAAGATGTTATTTATCATTCTCCTCAAAGATCTATTGAGGAGTTAAAACTGAACTCGAGATCTACTTTCAAGAACATCACAAGAATACATACATAGGCTAGGTATGGTGGAAGTCCTTGCTGAGAGGCTAGGGAAGGAGGACTGTGACAGAACTATGTCAGAAATACCTCTCTACTCCCAAAGGGGGGAGGGAATAAAGAAGAGGAAATAATCACAAGCCCAAAGAGGAGGTCATCACCCTGGACAACTCTCAGATTCAAACAATGGAACATACCTCACAGGAATGTTACAGGGATGAACTGAGTTAATCCATACAAAATGTGTAGATCCGTGACTGGCAAGTCATATGGCAACAATAAATGTCTAAATGCCATTACTGTCATCAGTTATTAATTACTTACCTTTCTGGTCTCTGCCTAGGACCATCTGGAACATGCTCTCAGTCATGCTGAACAGTGAATGTTGGTTTGCCTTCTGTTCTAGATTAAACCCAGATACAGTGCGTTTCCTGGGTCAGGCCACCACAGGGAACTGACACATTCTTTGGATTCTATAGGATCTGTCTCAACAGTTAACACTGTATGGTTAAGACCAAAGTCACAGCGCCAGAGGAAGCCTTGGGCTTTTGGGCCCTCATGCCCTGCCTGTCAATTTGCAAGGAGCTAGAATCATCTTGAATTAAGTCCCCCAGGTCTTGAATAATATGGGGCAGGTTGGAGGTGGCCTTGAAGAGGTACACTCTAGAATCTCTGCTAATAAAGTTTTGAGGAATCTCAAGGAGTTACTGTACAAATTAATAAATACAGTGTGTCAAGAGCAAAAGCATAAACCAATGTGAAAATGTAAATATTCTTAATGATTTATTTATTTGTTCATTAAATGTCTCTGCCAACAAAAGATCTGGAAATCCCTCATTTATCCCTTTTTTGTAACTATTATTAATACTATTTAATAGACAAGGAGACAGAGACTCAGAGATGTTAATGTCCCAAGGTAATGCCACCTGAACTTGACCATAGGCCTGTTAAATTTGAAGTCCAAGGGGCCAGCAGGTGGCATGGTGGACAAGGATCTGGACACTCCCACATGGCTGACCATGGTTTGAGTCTAGACCTGGAGGCTTGCTTTGTCACTTTCCCTCTCTCTCTATGGTCAAAATGAAATAAATGAATAAATAAAATTAAAATAAATAATTCTTTGAAAAAAAATTGAAGTCCAAGCTGTTACCCTTTACTGTCTCACAGTCTCTCTCATGTGAGATTTGCTAAGGCAGGGAAAGGGTTTCCTCTCTCTCTCTCTCTCTCTCTCTCTCTCAAAGAGGCAGTGTCAGGGACTGGCAGGTGGTGTGGTGGTAAGGCACTAAACTCTCACATGGCTGACCACAATTCAAATCCCTGACCTGGTGGCTTGCTTTCTCACTTTCCCTTTCTCTCTCTCCCTTTCTCTGGTCAGATTAAAATAATAATAAATAAAATTAAATAAATAATTCTAAAAATGGTTCACAGATTTCCAGTCTTTAATGTAACAGAAAAACAAAACAAACAAAACATTTGAATAGGTGATAATAACTTGGTTTAAAACTTGAGAAAGTTTGGGAACAGCAGTTGGTGTAAAGGCTATGTCGCTGAACTCCCACGTAGTCGACTGAGGTTCGAGTCCCAGACCCGGTGGCTTAAACTCAAGCCAGGCACATGTGCATGCGTGCCCAAGATCCCAAGAGAAGAATGGAGGAGAAGGGATTGTGGGGTGGCTATCCCCCCTGGGGATGATTTCTCACTTTCTGTCTCTTTCTGTCTCTCTGGCGAGCAAGTGCCAGTGCCCTATAGCAACAACCTCTCAAAACGAACAAACAAACTTGAGAAAGTTTAAGCAGGGGTGCAGGAAAAGCCCCATCTGTCCTGGCTTAGCTGCCCCATCTCCTCACCCACCGAGTTCACGCTCATACAAATGAAAAATGGGAACTCTTCTCCCCCTTTGAACACAAAAGGACTTATGCACACTGCACTGCTGTGTGCTTTTCTCATTTCATTTTCACACCAGTTAGAGTTGCCTGAGGGCCTTCACTCTGGCTGCTCCCTCTGCACCAACTCTTCTTCCTACAATTGTGGGAAGCACCCACTTTCCTCCTTCAGAGTCTTTGCCGAAAGGTCACTTCTCAGTCACACCTCTCCTCACTCCCCTCCTTTAAATTGCATTCTCTGTCAAGTCCCTTGATCTCACTCTGCTTTTTTCTTGATACCTGTCACTTTTTAACCTCTCACATAATTTGCTTATTTACTGTCTCTGTCTACACCCAGTGGAAGAAGGTACGCTCCACAAGGAGGAGGGCTCAGACTTTTGTTTGTTCTTGGTGTTTAAGTGCTTGGAGGAATGCATGGTACATAGAGAACACCCAGTGAGTATTTTTAAACAAGTGACCTCCAATATAAATTTTAACCTCCCTTTAACATTTATCATCGCCTTTTTGTTTACTGGACCTTCCCAGAGATTTATCAAGAGGTATTAAGTTTTCTCCTTGGCACATAGCAGCAGTTTTGGATTTCTCCTTAGAAATCCATCAAGAAGCAGAATAACATGTTAGAGCAGGAGAAATGGAGGACTAGTTAAGGAGGCGGGGAAACGCAAATGAGAAGACAGGAGGGAGGAAACATAGATCTCGGCCCCCCCAAGGAAAGAAGCATAAAGAAGGGAAAGAATTTCACTTAGCCAGCCTGTACCTGATCCGTGCACCAGTACCAGAGGGATGGGATGGACATTCCAAATAAAATTCCAGGCCATGGAAGATCAGATGTCAGTGGATCTCGGAAAATATGGAAGGCGTCTTCTCGGGGCAGCCCGCAGGTGCTGTTCTCAGTCCGGTTGCTAGCCAAGGCCAAGAAGTACTTCTCCTTCAGGCCTTCAATCCCACCAACTGCAGCAAAACCTGGAATTCAGAGGAAGCCAAATTTGGCAAGGTCTCAGTGCATCAATAGCAAGTGATAAGGGGACAGTTGAAGATCACTGAAATCCTAATAAGAGCAGAGCTACCAAGGAAAGTTGGTCTCTTCTGGGTTCTTAGCCCCTTTTCTCTTTCTTCCTTATTTTATGTTATTATTATTTTTATTATTGTTTTGGAGAGGTTTTTGCTACAGAGCACATGCACTCTCCAGAAAGACAGAGAGAGACAGAGAGACAGAAAGTGAGAAATCACTTCCCAGGGGGGATGGCCACACCACAATCCCTTCTCCTCCATTCTCCTCTCAGGATCTTGGGCATGCATGCACACGTGCCTGGCGTGAGTTTAAGCCACTGGGTCCAGGATTCGAACAGTGGTTGACTACATGGGAGTCCAGTGACATAGCTATTACGCCAACAGCTGATCCCATCTTCCTTATTTTTATTTAAAATTATTTATTTCATTTTTATTTATTCATTTGTTTATTTTAATTTGGCCAGAGAGCAGCACACACACACACACACACACACAGAGAGAGAGAGAGAGAGAGAGAGAGAGAGAGAGAGAGAGAGAGAGAGAGAGAGAGAGAGAGAGAGAGAGAGAGAGAGAGAGAGAGAGAGAGAGAGAGAGAGAGAAAGCAAGCCACCAGGTCTGGGACTCAAACCATGGTTGGCCATGTGGGAGTGGCTAGCACCTTAACCACCATGCCACCTGCTGGTCGCTGCCATCTTCCTTATTTTAAAAAATGACTTGAGTAGTTACTATAGATTGCTTCTCAGAATAATAATTCTAAATGCACACTATAAAATACGTAGGATTGTAAAGAAACCAAGTATATTAAGAACAATCACCAAAATATAACTTTGCTCCATTAAATAGTAAGACCTAGCAGTAGGTTTAATAATGATTTAGTTTTTTTTTTTTAATAATTATTTATTGGGGACCAGCAGATGGCATAATGGTTATGTTGCTGTACACCCACATGTTGACCATGGTTTGTGTCTTAGACTTGGCAGCTTAAAATTCACGCCCAATGCATGTGCATGCATGCCCAAAATCCCAAGAGGAGAATGGAGGAGAAGGGATTGCAGTGTGACCATCCCTCCGGGAGATGATTTCTCACTTTCTGTCTCTCTGTCTCTCTAGCAAGTGCATGTACGTGCCCTATAGCAAAGCTTCCTCTCTCTGAAAAAAAGTAGTACAGAAAGTTTTTATATACTCTTTAGATGTTATCATCTTAAGTGACCATAGTACACTTATCAAAACTAAGAAATTCACTTTTGCTATTTGTCCACTCCCTGCTACATTTATACATTGAAATCCTATTCTCCAAGGAGGTGGGCCTTCAGGATGTGATTAGAGCCCTCATGAGAATGAGATTAGTGCCCTTATAAAAGAGACCCCAGAAAGCTAGCTAGCCCCTTATAGCAAGAAGGCACTATCCACGAGGAACAGTCCCCTCACCAGACACCATATCTGCCAAGACCCTTGAATGCGGGCTTCCTAGCCTCCAGAACCATGAAAAATACCTATTTCTTGTTTATAAACTGTTCAACTCATGGCATTTTATTATAGCAGCCCAAATGGACTAAGACAAAATTGGTACAATACTATTAACTGTACTGCAGACTTCAAATTTCACTACAAATGCTCTTCTTCTCTTTGGGGATCCAACCCACAATCCCCCATTGCATTTATTCTTTGTATCTCTGAAGTGTTCACCACTCTGTGATAGTTCCTCAGTCTTTTCTTGTTTCTCATGCCCTGGACATTTCTGCATACTAGTTAATTCTTTTGTGAAATGTCCCTCATCTTGGATTTGTCTGAGGTTTACTACCCTGATTAAGTTGAGGTTCTATATTTCTGGCAAGGACAACAGAGAGGTGATGGTGTTTCCTTCTTGGTGTACCATATATACTACTCGATCACTTAGTTATGGTAGTATATGCCAGGTGTCTCCACTGTAAAGCAACTATTTTTCTCTTCATAATGTTTTTTAAGAATTATGTAATTTTTAAAAAGTGTTATTATTTTTTAATTTGACTAGAGAGAGAGAGGGAAAGTGAGAAAACAAGCTGCCAAGCTTGGGACTTGAACCACAGTCAGCCATTGGTAGTCCAACACCTGAACCACCACGCCACCTGCTGGTCCCTTTCTCCTCATAAATAAAAAACATTTTTGGCATAATACTTTGAGAGTATACAGCTTTCCTGCTTCTGCGTAAACAGCATAAGCAATGTTGTTTTCTGCCTACCAACATTAGCAATGACCCTCGGATCTTACCTGGAGCAGTTATTACTGAGACGTGATAATGTGATTTCTATTTCCCTTACTCTATCTGCATTGAGTAATTGGAATTATTCTGTAAGGAAGAGTTGTCCCTTTATCCCCTTGTCTTTTTTTTTTCATTCCTTCCTTCTTTTCTCATTCGTTTTCTATATTACTATATAGAAAGAGGCATTAACTTTTACTTTAAAGAGCCAGTAAGTTTTCATGATAAGCCACAGTACTCTTTCAGCCAAATAACCATGCCTCAAGCAAAACACATACCACAGAAGTCCCCAAGCAGTGTGCTTTCAATAGCTACGTTCGCTGATCAGAGTAATGAAAACAGAGAGGTACTGTTATCCACCCAAGGGAACGCTGGGACTCCACTTACTGTAGCCCATCAAGATGAGTGCTCCTATAAGCATGATCAGAGTCTGCAGAGCATCCGTGTAGATCACAGCAGCCAGGCCACCTGGGGGAGTGAGAACTGAGGTGAGGGTCCAGGATTCTGATAAAGAGGAGGTACTCTGGGTCATAGAGAGGGAACCCCAAAGGTCAAGACCTGACAGGGGATTTCCTAGTGTTGACTGTTTGCAGTAACTCCTCCCTGTGTGCATGTCCATCTTGCAATGTGACTTTCACACTTAGGTGTACTCGATTTCTCTACCTCTCACATATGGGCTTGCCCATGTGAATTGCTTGGAAATTCTATTGTGCAATTCCAAGCCTAAGCCTCAAGGGCCTGCAGCTCTGCTCTTATTCTTCTATTGCCCCAAGACCGCCAAGTCTAAGAAGGAGGATAATGGCCCACATGGAGGGAAAGCCCAGCCAACACCCCTCCCCTTCCCCCATGCTCCAGGCACATGGCTTCTATTAGTTCTGAGAACTCAGCCAAGGCTTTTGCATCTGTTAGATTTTATCATTTTGTTCTTTGGAGCCTCCAGTTGTGTTCCATGGCACTTAGAGCAAACTCCAGGTTCATTATTTTCCCTTCAAAGCTCTGATCCCTGCCTTTTTCTCTACTCTTCTTGTGTCATCAGGGCAGCTACAGAGCATAAGGCTGGGGGTGCCATTATTACTCTGGTTTGTGTGAATGGTACCTCTTGGAGTTGAGTAGCATACAACCTTATGTAGCCACTTATTCAACTTCTGGCACATTGACTCCTTTGCTGTTCACACTCTCATCTCTAAGTCTTTACAGTCGCCCTCCTCCTCTGCCTGGAATTCCCTTCCCATGAACTCATGGGTACCATTTAAATTTGGTTGTAATTTCACCTTAGAGAGGTCTTATTTGAGCATTTGATAAGAAAAAATTTTCTCCATTATTCCCCATCTCCTCACCCAGCTTATTTCCCTTCAGAGCACTTATCTGGTTAGAGTAATCTACCCTCACATTATTTATTGATTTTCTTGTCCGTTGTCTGTCTCTCCTTCCCCACTAGAATGTAAGTTACTCTGGAGATGAGGTTTTTGTCTATCTTGTTTACACCTTTGCCCATTTCCTACCATGTTATCTGGCACATAGTGGGTACTATATAGTAGGTAATATATAGGAAGCAGAAAAGAGTGAAACTGGGGAAGATGAGAGGATTAATATTCAAAAACAGATACTTGTCAAGGCCCTACCATGACCTGGGCACTCCCCTAGTACACAAATCTGAGGGGGAAAGGGAAAACACTCTGACCTGACCTCAGGCTTCAAAATCACAATAGCTTATTAACCAGCCTGGTATAATGCATGTGAATGCACATGCTCAGTACTGGTAGATTCTCAGTAAATAGTTCTAGAATACATGGGTTGGAGAAAACACAATTGTGGTGCATCTTTTAAATTCTTGCTCTTACCAAGCAACCCTGAAAGTCCTTCGCATAATGGCCAAGAGAATCTTATTATTTCAGGTAACGAGTAAGTTTTCTCAACACACAGAAACATGAGAAGAAGGGTCAGGAAAAGTTAGGGTGCGCTATGGCCCCACCCACCACGTCTCCCAGTATCACCCCTTGTTTTAGTCATACCTGCGACAGTGTATAGAGCTGTAATGGCCAACAGCCCAACTATGGCCAGGTACAGATCCAGGTGCAGAGACTGCTGAATAAAGATGGCACCTGCATACATGTCCACCTGTGAAGACATCAAGTGGATGGGATGGGTGGATGGACATTTGCAGCACCAGTTCCCCAGGATTAGGCCCTAACCTAGACTCTGACAAACACAGAAGAGCCATATGTTGTCCTTTCTTTATCCATCTCATCCCAGACCAGGGGTCTCAGACTGGAGCCCTGTGCGCAATTAAGTTTGAGGACCCCTGCCCTGCACTAAAGCGACAACCTCAATGGTCTTTCTGCTTCTGTTTGTCATCCTCTACACTGCAACCTTCATCAAACACCCCCACAATCACATCATTCTTGCCTCCCCATCAAAACTCTTGAGTGGCTCTCCTTTACCCACAAGATTAAGTCTAAATAAGTAAGTTAAAGTTGCATACCAAGCCTTTTATGATTCTCCTGCTTCTTGGTCTCGTTTAGTTTATTTATTCCATAGTCCCAGTCTTCCAGACACCCCGAAATATTCCCACTTTCCCTAACAAGTCATGTTCACTCATCTCTCCCAGCTGTTGCTTGTGCCAGTACATCTGTCTGGAATGTCAATCTCTCTCTCTCTAATGGGCAAACTCTTGGGATTTAATATCCCCTGGAGAGCTTCCCTACATCTATGCATTTCTTGCCAGACTTCAAGTAACTTCCTAGAAAGGACCTCTTGTGTCTGCTCTTTAAGTCTGGAGCTCGCAGAATCTTTTGTTGTTTTGACTGAATGGGATTCCTTCTGCTGGGCTCTCATCCCCTTCACAGGGGACAAGTTCCTCCCTACCCCTGGCTGGAAGAGAAGACAGTTTCAGAGTGAGCCAGGCTGGCTGAGCAGCAGGTGTTCAGAGGCCACAGTGCATCTGCTCTTTGCCACTTTCCCAGAGATCTGCCCAGCCAAAGATCAGGGTGGGACTTCCAATTGGCCATCAGCATATCTGATAAATAGCTGATCACCCTGATCCAGGAGGAAGATGACAGTTCTATCCAAGGGCTGGCGGGGTGCTTGGAGTCAGTGACCTACACCAGCCTGAGATATCACCAAAGCAGATTTGCAGGAGTAAGGGAGGGTGTCCTTCCCTTGACCCTTTCTCCCAACTTTCTCTGCCCATGTTGCTCTCCCCCCACATCTTCCTCTAACCTCCCTGAAGCCCACCCAGGAGAAAGCAGGTGGGGTGGAGACACTGCTAGAAATATACTGGGACTAATCTTGCCATGCTGCTGCAGTGTGGCCCGGCTGTGTTCCTGCCTTACCGAGATCTTGGTGAAGATGTAGATGAACAGGTAGAGAATAGCCAGGATGATGGGGATCCTGTTGCCGCCAAAGCGTTTCCTTAGGTATTCTGGCATCGTGGTCACCTGGGGGCCAAAGTCGAGCTTTCACCACCTGGCAGATGTGAAGCATGTGGCCCCGGCCCCACCCATCCCACCTTCCACCTCCCACCCCGGCCAAACTCAGAAGCCCAGGTGATCTGGGGATTCTCAATGGGAGACATAGAAAGGGAGAGAAAATAGGTACAAAGGGATGGGGTGTGGAGAAATCAGAGTCTATGCAGGGGTGTGTATCCAACCGTGAGTCATGTATGTGCCCCTGTCCCGGTGACATACCCTATATTGTTGCCTACTTAATTGTCTAAGCTGAATCATCCTTTAATTTAAATGAACTTATCTTAAAAAGAAACTAACTCATGGGCCAGTCAGTGGCATGGTCATTAAGGTGGCTGGATCCCACATGAAAGGACCTCTTGTGTCTGCTCTTTAAGTCTGGAGCTCGCAGAATCTTTTGTTGTTTTGACTGAATGGGATTCCTTCTGCTGGGCTCTCATCCCCTTCACAGGGGACAAGTTCCTCCCTACCCCTGGCTGGAAGAGAAGACAGTTTCAGAGTGAGCCAGGCTGGCTGAGCAGCAGGTGTTCAGAGGCCACAGTGCATCTGCTCTTTGCCACTTTCCCAGAGATCTGCCCAGCCAAAGATCAGGGTGGGACTTCCAATTGGCCATCAGCATATCTGATAAATAGCTGATCACCCTGATCCAGGAGGAAGATGACAATTCTATCCAAGGGCTGGCGGGGTGCTTGGAGTCAGTGACCTACACCAGCCTGAGATATCACCAAAGCAGATTTGCAGGAGTAAGGGAGGGTGTCCTTCCCTTGACCCTTTCTCCCAACTTTCTCTGCCCATGTTGCTCTCCCCCCACATCTTCCTCTAACCTCCCTGAAGCCCACCCAGGAGAAAGCAGGTGGGGTGGAGACACTGCTAGAAATATACTGGGACTAATCTTGCCATGCTGCTGCAGTGTGGCCCGGCTGTGTTCCTGCCTTACCGAGATCTTGGTGAAGATGTAGATGAACAGGTAGAGAATAGCCAGGATGATGGGGATCCTGTTGCCGCCAAAGCGTTTCCTTAGGTATTCTGGCATCGTGGTCACCTGGGGGCCAAAGTCGAGCTTTCACCACCTGGCAGATGTGAAGCATGTGGCCCCGGCCCCACCCATCCCACCTTCCACCTCCCACCCCGGCCAAACTCAGAAGCCCAGGTGATCTGGGGATTCTCAATGGGAGACATAGAAAGGGAGAGAAAATAGGTACAAAGGGATGGGGTGTGGAGAAATCAGAGTCTATGCAGGGGTGTGTATCCAACCGTGAGTCATGTATGTGCCCCTGTCCCGGTGACATACCCTATATTGTTGCCTACTTAATTGTCTAAGCTGAATCATCCTTTAATTTAAATGAACTTATCTTACAAAGAAACTAACTCATGGGCCAGTCAGTGGCATGGTCATTAAGGTGGCTGGATCCCACATGGCCAACTGCATGGTTCGAGTCCTGGACCTGGAGCATGAAAAACACACCAGGTGGGTATGCATGTGTGCCCAAAATCCTGAGAGGAAAATGGAGGAGAAAGGAGGTGGTATGGCCAGATAAATGTACCGAGGAAGATACTCTGTGGGTGGATTTCCTATTTAATCTCTGAAGGACACCTGGCAGCTGGTCTGTGTTTAGGAGTTGGACTCATATCACTGAATGGCAGCCCTTATCAATTGACCTTGGTTTTAATCTAGAGAGTGGCACAGCCTCCACATGCAAGAAGTTTCTAATTAGTTAAGATGAGAAGGAGGGGTGAAATTTATCAGAAAGCTAATGGCATTGGTATCTGGAACTCAGACTCGAAATATGAAGTTGGTTGGCAGATGGGAGCAGAGTCTGGCTGTTGGTTGTAAGGTAGCTAAAGAGGCAATTTATCAGCAAGTGGGGTTGAAAGAGTGAGAGAGAAAGAAAGGTATTGTCTCCATCACACATCACACAAAAGGTTTTCCAGTCTCAAATACAAGGAGATTTTCAAAATATTCATGGAAAATGCATAGTATGAAAATGCTATGCAGGGTTTTCAATTGTTTTTGCACCAAAATAAATTTGTCCTTTAGTTCCATTGTTTTTAAAGAATTTTTAAAATTATTTTTATTGTCATTATTTTTTTATACCCACTCACGAGAGGGAGAGAGAGACAGAGAGAAGGAAAGCGCAAAAGCAAGCTTCTAGGTCCAGGACTTGAACTGTGATTGGCCATGTGGGAAGTCCAGTGCCTCAACCACCACACCACCTTCTGGCCCCCTTTAGTTCCATTTTTGATTAATTTTTTTCCTTTTCCTTTATTTATTTATTTATTTATTTATTTATTTTTAAGAAAGACTTTTGCTATAGGGTGCTTGCACATGCCAGAGAGACAGAAAGTGGGAAATCACCCCCCAGGGAGGATGGCCACATCACAATCCCTTCTCCTCCATTTTCCTCTAGAGATCATGGGTATGCATGCACATGTGCCCGGTGTGAGTTTTAAGTCGCCGGGTCAGGGACTTGAACTGTAGTCGACTATGTGGGAATCCAGTGATGTAACCATTATGTCATCTGCTGGTCCCATTGATGAACATTTTTAGGTCCCCTCTTATTGCCCCTCTCTTCCCCAAATAGAGAGTGACCAGGAGAGGGCACAGATCCATGTTAAAGACACAGAAGAGTCTGGATCAAGCCCATAGCACTCCTCCAAGCTACACTCCCCAGCAACCCCTGGCTTCAGTGTCCTCTTGCATGGGTGAGGAAGGACAGGCGGTGAACACAGGACCCTCTGGCTGGAGCTTGTGAATGTTACAGAGAGGTAAATGTAGCAAGTGACTGCTGTCCTTGGCCATCCCACTCAGCCCGGAGACCCTGGTGGCTGGTAGTCCTCAGGCCTCAAACAGGCCTTACCTCCTGGTGGTGAAGGGTCTAGAGGGGATTGAGCATGTGCTCACCCCTGACTCACACGCACACTGTCACCCAGCTCTTGTAAGACACCTTCCTCCTCCAAAACCCGTGGCCTCTGACTACAGCAACTTCGGCCCCTCCCCCAGTGTTCCGTGGGAACTCCTGCTTTTGTGCTACCCTCCTATCATCCTAGACTTTCCCCCTTACCTGAAGGCAGCTTCAGCAACCATGTGGAGAACCCACACACAGGACCATGGACAGGAGCCTAGTTTTCTTAGCCCCCCAGAACAGTTAGGCATCTCTCTCCAGCAACCCATCTTTCTGATGAAAACTTGGGCCTAGCCATCCCCAAGACCTCATTCACTTCTGATGCTCCAACTATTCCTCAGTGCAGCTCTCTCACTTGTGATTCTGAAGAACCCTGGGACTTGAACAAGACTTCTGGTCCCTAATTGGTGCTTCTTTGGTGTGATTCTTTTCTTCATTTTACTTTTTTCTGAGTTCATTTCAACAAATATTTTCTGGCTGTCTGTTGTATCCCAGACAGGGTTCGCAGCTCTCTCACTTGTGATTCTGAAGAACCCTGGGACTTGAACAAGACTTCTGGTCCCTAATTGGTGCTTCTTTGGTGTTGATTCTATTCTTCATTTCACTTTTTTCTGAGTTCATTTCAACAAATATTTTCTGGCTGTCTGTTGTATCCCAGACAGGGTTCTAGATACTGAGAGGGTTCTTGTCCTAGAGCTTCCTGCCTAACAAGAGACGGTCTAGTACCACGGTCAGACAAGGGCCACCTGACATCCCACCTCCCCAGGGAATGTTTGGCAATGTCTAGAGGCCTTTTGACTGTCACAGTGTGGGGGTCAGCTAGTATGTAGAGACCAGGCATGCTGCTAAACCTCCTACACTGCACAGAGTCACCTTCACCTACCTTCATCCACAAACACAACACAGAGTGATCTAGTGCTGAGGTCCGGGAACCCTGGTCTAATGGGAGGGACACAGTCTAGGGACAGACACATTAATTTAATAAGCACAAAAGCAAATGCAGCATCTGTGGCAAATACAATAAAGGGATTTAAACCTAATTAGAGAGGTCAAAAAGGGCTTCCTGGAGGAAATGTCCCTTGAAATAAAAGCTGAAAGACAAATAGGAGTTAACCACACCAAGAAGCAAGCGGGAAACTCTCCAGCAAGAGGGGAGAGCATTGTGATGGCCCAGGGAAGCAGACAGCCTGGAATACAGGGACCTGTTTGTTAGAACAGTGCCTGGTATCCAGTAAATCCTTCTTCAATGAGTGAAAAAGTGAACTGACGGGTGAACATTGTGAATGAAGAGTTGAGATGGTTCCTGGGCAAGATAGTTTATTTCCCATATTCATAAGAAATAATAGCTTCTAACCATCTTAATGTGTAGTATTAGCATGAGTCTATCCTCAAAACATGGTAGACAAAATGGATGCTAGGCAGATAATAGATTTTAATGTGAAAAGTTGGAGATAATGTATAGGAAAACATCTTTGTGACTTTAGAGGAGGAAAGGATTTTTTCAAGAAGATATAAAAGGCAGTAGCCATTAATAAGAAAAAGATGACAAACGTGACTGAAATAAAATTGAGACTGCTGAGGGGCCAGATGGTGGCAGTACAACACAATTCTCTGCAAGGCTGACCCACATGGGAAGGTTCTGGGTTTTGCCTTCACAGACCACCCTGAATCGGTTGAGTATTTGCGTGCCCACCATCAGGGGCTGGCTGAAGCTGGGGTGGATTGCAGCATTAGGACTCTATTTGGACACTGTTTCTCTTGACCATGGAAGAAACAATTAAAATGAAATAATTTAAAAGCTGAGATCTGGAGCCAGCAGGTGGCATACTGGTTAAGGCACTAGACTCCCACATGGCCAACCGTGGTTTGAGTCCCAAACCTGGTGGCTTGAAAATCACACTGGGCATGTGTACATGTGTGCCCAAAATCCCAGGAGAAGAAGGATTGTGGCATGACCACCTCCCCTGGAGGGTGATTTCTCACCTTCCCTCTCACTGTCTCTCTCTGGGGAGCTCAAGTGCCCTATGGCAAAAATCTAAAAGAAAACAAAAACTGAGACCTATTAACAAAAAAAGCCATGAAGCAAGTGAAAAGGCAAGCCACTGAGTGGGAAAAAAAAAACCATACAAGTATTATCGCCCTAAGGGCTTGCTTTCAGAATATATGAAGGACTTCTAAACATTAATAAGAACAAGGCATAAAATCTAGTAGAAAAAGGTGAAAAGTCCCAGTCAAGTTACTTCCCCAAAGAGGAAATCCAAATAGCCAAAAACCATATAAATAGAACTGATAATTAAATACACAGTAAGATACCACTGTACCCACCAGATTGGCAAACGTTTTAAAGTCAGCGAATACCAAGCATCAGTACTGACATAGACCACTGGAGCAAAGGGAATTTGTCACATGCCTCTGGTGGGAGTGCACACTGACGGAACTACACCCAGGGGAAGTTTGGCAGTACCTTGTGAAGACAAAGGTAAATCATCCCCAGTGATTTGGTGATTCTACCCAGAGGTTCATTTTCTCCATTGACACGTTTATGTGCACCAGGGCACATGGATGAAATGTTCACAGTAGCACCATCACAGCCTAACATGGGAACAACCTACGTTCCCAGAACAACACAAGTATAAATATTGTGATGGGATCCCACTACAGAAAACCACATAGCAATGGACATTAATACACCCGCTACACGCAAAATAGTAACAATAATAATAATAAAGTCACCCTGTTCTATTTATATACAACTTTTTTAGTTGTAAAATGAAACTATATTGTTCAAGTGTGCATAATTAACACTAAGGCAGAGCAAGAAAGTGAGTGCTTATTAGGAAAGTCCAGGAGAAAGGAAGGCGTGTGATCTAGCGGCTCCCAATCAAGATTACGTTTTATGTCTTGAACCGGGTGTTGGTTTTACAACAGTTGGTTAAACTGCACTTTGGTGTTTTATTGCTTTTCTGTAATTTACTTCCCAACACACATGAATTGAGAGCTCTTAAACTTTTCTCAACACTTATTATCTACTATAAGAAATACTACAGAGTACTAAGAGATTGTGGAGCTTAATCTCTCCTTTGAATACTTGCAAGATACTGCCCAAAGAAAGCCCAAATCCAGGGAATTCCATTTTCCTATTTGACAATACAGCTTGGTAATCAGCCCACCTCTATTGACTTCATGCCTTTTTATAGCTTTATATCCGATAGGAAGGATGCCCAGTCCCCTACTGATGGGCAATGTGGTGTTCCCTGGTTTTTATTACAACTACAACAGCCATTTCAGATCTTTGTGCCTCTTCCCTACCTTTAGCACCACAAGTTCTTACCTCTGTCAGAGGTGAGATTATTTTCTACTTACCAGAGAAAATGGAAACCATCAGCAGAATACACCTAGCAGCCTTACCTAGAAACTAAGATATATTGCCACCTTCTTTTTCTCCTTCCCACAGTAGATGCTCAATAAATATTTACTGATCCTAGAGCTAGCCAGTGGTGTGGTGATTAGGGCAGTTGGATTGCACATGGTTGATTATATGATTCAAGTCCTAGACCCGGTGGCTTGAAAAACATGCCAGGTACATGTGCATGTGTCCTCAAGATCCCAAGAAGAGAATGGAGGAGAAGGGATTATGGCATCATCCATCATCATCCTGCCTGGGAGGTGGGAGGAGGGATGTGTTCTTACTTCCTCTCTCCTTCTCCCCTCTCTCTCTGTCATGTGCCCTATAGCAAACTAAAATTAATTAATTAATTAAAATTTTAAGAGTTAGTAATTCTTTGGACCAGATATCACTTCCAGTTTGGTAGTGTTGTACCTCAGATATTTTGTCTATGCGAGAGCTAGGCACAGGTGGGTTGAGCAGACCTAGTTGTCCATGTGGGATCCAGTTACCACTGTCTGGCCCCATGTTGCTGCTTTCAACTAAGCATATATGGGGCCAGCCAGGTGGTGTAGTGGTTAAGGCAGTTGGATTCCACATGGCCAAGTGTATGGTTTGAGTCCCAGACTTGGCAGCTTGGAAAATACAGGGGCATATATGCATGTGTGCCCAAAATCCCAAGAAGAGAACAGAGGAGATGGGTTTTCAGTGTGGCCATCCCCCCTGGGGAGTGATTTCTCAGTTTCCTCCTCTCTCTCTGTATCTCCCTAGTGAGCACATGAGCCTTAGCGCAAAAGCTGAAAATATATACATATATATCAAATAATAAAATATACTATGTATAATAATAAAAATAATGTTATACATAATAAAATATATTTTAAAATATATTATGTGTGTATGTATGCATAATTATATAACACTACATGATTGGAGTCCCAGAACCAGGGACTTGAAAAACATGCTGGGCACGTGTGTGTGTGTGTGTGTGTGTGTGTGTGTATGTCCCCAAACTAAACAAAATAGCGACAACAAAAAAAAGCAGTAACATTTTATGGTTTAAACATTTAAAAGAGATTGTAAGTTTTACATTTGTGTTTTGATATATAAAAGAACAAAATCGAGCCCACATTTTTCCTGCCTCTGAATGCCCTGTGTGTACCTTAATACTGGGCACCTGGTGGAGACTACTGAGGGCGGGGTTCCCAGGTGTCTCACCCGTGCGTCACCCTCCCCAGTGCTGGGACCTCTGAGTGACTGTTCACTGGACGCCCAGGGGTGGGAGGGAGGGATGCAGGGTAGACCTGGCCAAAGAGTCTCTCCATTCCACAGCACCTGACCTCTTGGACTCACCTGACCAGCAATGTAGATGGGAAGGAAGATCCAGGCAAGCATCAGCACAGAAAATAAGCCCTGCCCAAGAAAACACAGTTAGCTCTCAGCCCCCAGCTCACTTCAAAGTGCACGTTTGGATTTCCTTCTGCCACCGAGGTAAACTGGCTTGCATTCCACCTCTGCTTCCGTCTCTTACTTGCTAAATGAATTGCCTTCCCAGGCTCTCATATTTCCATATTTTAAATGGGGAGAAGGGGGTTAAATGCAGAAATACAGAAGAGAAGCATGGAAGTAGAAAGCCTTCTGCGACACCTCCTAGTTCCGTTCTAACCAGCATAGGCTCCTCTTCATCCCATGGTGCTCCCTCCCCTCCTTGGCAGTGGTTAAAACAAGCTCATGAGGTCAGGGAGGCTTGAGATCAAAGAGTGGCTACACCCGTGAGTAGCTTGCTGGTACTCAGAGAGTTAACACAGGTCTCTGGGGCTCATTTTTCTCACCTGTGACCGTGGATAACCTGCTTCACTAGGTTGCTGCAGGGACATCAGTGAGATGATACTGCGTAACTAGTACATACCAGGCACTCCTCCGCACTCTTTACAAGCATTCATTCATTTCATCTTCACAATGACTCTACATGGCAGGTTCCATTAACAGTCCCACTTTATACAGGACGCCCAGAGAGGTTAAGTAACTTGCCCAAGGTCACATAGTTTATAAACGTTGGAATTCAGATGCAAACCCAGGCAGTCTGGTTCTAGTCTGTAATTGAATTCCGTAATGTGACAATTTGTGTAACATACTTTAGTCTGAGTCTGACATAGAGAAAGCATTTTAAAAACTGTTCGTCATTGGGGCCAGCAGATACCATGACGGTCACTGGACTCCCACATGGCTGACCACAGTTTGAGTCTGGACCTGGTGGCTTGAAACTCACGTTGGTCGCAGGTGCATGCATGCCTCCATTCTCTCAGGAGAATGGAGGAGAAGGGACTGCGGTATGATCATCCCCCCTAGGGGTTGATTTCTCACTCTCTGTCTCTCTGTCTTTTCAGCGAGTGCATGTGCCCTATAGCAAAAATCTCTCTTAAAAAAAGAAGATGAAGGCCATTATTAATTAGTGCACTCTCCAGTGAAAATTATATACTAAATGAGCCCTGCTATGTGAGAGAGTGTGTCCTATTCTTGGTATCCCTGGAGTAGCAAAAACCACAAAATCATCTAATTTTTGTGATAGCCAATCAATGTCTAAAATACGCAAAAATACCCTCCATCCCATGATCTGTTCTTTCTTCTCCATCTTCAAGGGAGAGATTCTGACCCTCTTCTCTATACTCCTACTTGGGATTGTGGCTCTATGGGCCTCCATCAAGCCAATGCAAGGATGTGAGAGACAGCCCAAACTGATTTTTGCTAACTAAGGGTGACCTCAAAACTCTTGAAACTTCCAATTTTTCAAAAGGTACCACTCTGTTTTGTTTTGGTTTGCTTTTTTTTTTTTTTTAAGAGAGATTTTTGCTATAGATCACGTGCGCTGAGAGCGAGTGAGCGAGAAATCACCCCCTGGAGGGATGGCCACACTGCAATCCCATCTCCTCTACTCTCCTCTCAGGATTTTGGGCACACACACACTTATGCATCCGGTGTGAGGTTTAAGCCACCAGGTCCAGGACTCAAACTGCAGTTGACCATGTGAGAATCCAGTGACACAACCATTACGTCATCTCTTGGTCTTGGTACCACTGTTTTTAAAGCATAGGGCATTCATGCAACTCTTCCCCAGGTGGAGGTCTAGGTGAGAGATCTGTACCCAGTGCAGCATACTTACGTTAAGCTCATAAGCAGATACAGAAATGCCTGCAGCGGCACCTGACCCTGCCAGGCCAATGAAATGTCCACTGCCAACATTGCTGGCAAATAAGGATGCGCCCACCTGTGGGGAGATGGACAGGTCAGATCCTGGAGCCACGGTGTGGAGTACTTGCTCCCCACTCTCAATTCTTTTCATGTTCCAAAGGGACAAAACAGAAGTAGAGAAGGCAGGGTTATCTCTAGCCTACCTGGCATCTTTGTTCAAATTAGAAAGATTCTCTTTTCCTCAAACTCTCATACTGCCACCTGCAGAAATTAGTACAATAGACACACATATCTACAACACCTAATATGTGGCTTGTGCCTGGACACTTGTGCAGTGCACAGCTTCGACAACTGTATTCAGCACCCCTGGAGGGAAGGATGACTGGCGCTGTACCAAACAAGTTCCTTCCTAGCTCTGCTGTTAACTTAGCAAGGTAGGTAGCCCTGCTTCTGGCAGAACGCTAAGTGGCCAAGACTATACTCAATGATTCCAATCTCTGGTCTCAGTTCACTGAACTGGATGAGCCTGAATATCTAGCCTGAGTGGGGTCATCATAGTCTCTTCTGTGGGAATTTGGAACTAGGATACATTCTTTGCTGGCCCCTTGGACTGGGAACATGGTAGGAACGGTAGGGACTGGGAAGGGGGAATGGCATGGAGGCATATTTAGCTGCATGCTCATCACTGCCAGGCTGGTGGAAGAGAATGAAGGAGACATACAGAGAGCGGCAGATCAGGTGAGGAAAGAAGAAGAGCTGGAGGGAGGAAGAAGGGGGAAGGAGGAGGAAAAGAGAGCTGAAGGAGGGAAGAAGGGGTAGGAGGAGGAAAAAAGAAGAGCTGGAGGAGGGAAGAATGGAGGGAGAGACATAGGTTGGTAGAAAAGGAGAAAGGGAAGGAGGGAGAGAGGGAAAAGGAGAAGAGTTGTGCTTCCCATGGGCTCCCCAGTCTCTGGTTCTCATCATATTCTATTCCATTGATGTATGAAAGGGGCCTTCAAAAAGTTCACAGAAAATATATGTTATGAAAAAAAAAGTAGGCATGGATTTTAAATTCTTTTGCACCAAAATAATTAATTAATTAATTAATATTATTATTTTTAGGGTTTTGCCATAAGGTGCATGTGCTTGCCAGAGAGAGACAGAGAGAGGGGAAGTGAGAAATCACCCACCAGGGGAATGACCGTGGACACGTCACAGTCCCTTGTCCTCCATTCTCCTCTCGGGATTTTGGGCATGCATGCACATGCACCCACTATGATTTTCAGGCTGCTGGGTCTGGGACTCTAACTGCAGGCAGCCATGTGGGAATGTAGCACCTCAACCACAATGCTACCTGCTGGCCCCCAAATTCATATTTTAATTCATTTTCCCTCTAACTCTTTAAAGTCCCCTCATATATGTCTATTATTCTGCCATTATCACACTCTCTTGACTACTACTACATTGTAGTAAGTTTTGAAATCAGAAAGTATGGGTCCTCTAACTTTGTTCTTTCAGTATTTTTTTCAAGTACTTTTTATTTTTTTTCATATAGCTATTCTGGTCCTTTATATCTCCATATGGATTTGAGAATCAGATTGCCTGTTCTGGAAAAGGAAAAGGTGGCTGAAATTTTGATGGGGGCTGCATTGACTATAGATCCATTTGGGGAATATTGCCATCTTCACAGTATTAAGTCTTCAAATCCACAAAATGTCTTTCCAATTAGTTAATTCTTGTGTAAGTTCTTTCAAGGATGTTTTCAGTATATACATGTTGCCCTTCTTTTTTCAAATATATTCCTAAGTATTTTATTCTTCTGATGCTATTGTAAAGGAAATTATTCACTTAATTCACCTCAGATTGTTCATTGCTAGTGTGTGTAATTAATTTTTATACTGGATTTACATTTTTCGAGTTGCCATATAATGTTATTTTAAATGTTTATGGGGGAACAAAGACAAACAATAGAAAGTGTCTCTGAAGAAATCCATGGAAAAATGTCTTCTATAAATCCAGTCCCTGGTGCCAAAAAGGTTGAGTACTGTTGCTCTAGTGAATATTTTATTTCACTTGTGCTTTTCAATTTCAGAATTTTACTTTGCGGGACCAACAGGTGGTGAGGTGGTTAACGCGCTGGACTTCTATATGGTCAACAGCGGTCAGAGTCCTGGACCTGGTGGCTTGCTTTCTCACTTTCTCTTTCTCTCTCTCTCTCTGTCTCTTTGGTGAGCACACATGCAGGCAAAACACCCCAAAGCTCACTGTTTTAATTGAGATTCAGTTATTTTTCTTGAATAAATACTCTCTAAATTGTCTCGGTATTTCATTTATTTTCATAGTTTAAAGAGTTGACTTTGGGACCAGCAGGTGGCACAGTGGTTAAGGTGCTGGACACTCCCACATGGCCAACCACGGTTCAAGTCCCAGACTTGGTGGCTTCCTTTGTCCCTCTCTTTCTCTCTCTCTCTGGTCAAATTAAAATAACTGAATGAATAAATAAAATTAAATAAATAATAATTTAAAAATAAGAGTTGACTTTGACAATATTTGCCAGTTCTCATGGCTTTTCATAAAGAGAAGATTTTCACTCTGTCATTCCCAATGACCCCATCCTGCATCCTCCTTTGAAATGTGACTGTTCTGTTTTGCCCATAAAGAAATCGGGCTGCTCTATGCCTCACTTCCGTCAATAGAAGGTGGTGGAAGTGACACTGTAAGACTTCTAGGTTAAGACCTTAACAGTCTAACAATTTCATTTTTGCCTTCTTAAGCAAAGTTTCTATAAATAATTTAGGATGCTGAAGGATGAGACAGCACAGGGAGAAAATGCTGTCTTCATATTCCCACCATCCCCCATAGCCCTGAAAATGTGGGCAAGGCCATTTTGGACTTCTTGACCCTGCTAACGACTAAATGCAGGCACATGAGGAGGTCTAGTGGGGAATAGAAGAGGAATCACCCAGAAGCCAACCCATGGTGATGTGGTGGTTAAGGTGGCTGGATCCCATTTGGCCAACAGTGCGACTTAAGTCCTGGATCCAAAGGCCTGAGAAACAAACCAGATACATGTGTGTGTGTGCCCAAAGTCCCCAAAGAAGGGAGAGATAGAGGAGACGGGATTGCAACATGACCACTCCACATGAAGGATGCTTTTTCAGTTTTCCTCTCTCTCTATCTCTGTCTGTCCCACTATCTTGGCACACGTGCCCTCTGGCAATTTTTTTTTTTAAGAAGAAGAAATAATACACTCCCTAAGGCATCTATATCTAATACGTTAATTCTAAAATTCTTCTCTCCTTTTTTTTTTGAGATATTTTTGCTATAGAGTGCGTGTGCTTGCCAGAGAGACAGAAAGAGAGACAGAGAGACAGAAAGTGAGAAATCACCCCCAGAGGGGATGGCCATGCCACAATCTGTTCTCCTGCATTCTCTTCTCGAGATTTTGGGCATGCACATACATGCACTCAGCATGAATTTAAGCCCCTGGATTCAGGATTCGAACTGCAGTCAACTACATGGGAGTTCAGTGACATAACCATTACACCATCTGCTGATCCCTCATTCCAAAATTCTTAACCACATTACCTTCATCTTGGTATCCTTCTTCTTACGTGAGGAAGAAAATGAAGTTTCCAAACTTTTCCTTCCTGACATTATAGAGGGTAATTCAAGAAAAATGAAGAACTGGTCCCAGAAATAAGTGGACACTTGGAGAGGTTGTTGTATTCCTATTGAGAAATTAGCATCAATGGGACCAGCAGATTATGTAATGGTTACGTCGCTGGACTCCCACTTAGTCAACAATGGTTTGAGTCCCTGACACAGTGGCTAAAACATCACACTAGGTGCAAGATCCCAAGAGGAGAATGGAGAAGGGATGGCAGCATGACCATCCCTTGCTTTCTGTCTCTGTTTCTCTCTGGCGAGTGCATGCTCTCTATAGCAAAAAATCTCTCTTAAGAAGAAAGAAAGAAAGAAAAAGAAAGAAATAGAAAGAAAGAAAGATAAAAAGAAAGAGAGAAAGAAAGAGAGAGAGAGAAAGAGAGAGAAAGAAAAAGAAAGAAAGAAAGAAAGAAAGAAAGAAAGAAAGAAAGAAAGAAAGAAAGAAAGAAAGAAAGAAAGGAAGGAAGGAAGGAAGGAAGGAAGGGAGAGAGAAAGAGAGAGAGAGAAAGAAAGAGAGAGAGAGAAAGAAAGAGAAAGAAAGAAAGAGAAAGAAAGAAAGAAAAAGAAAGAAAGAGAAAGAAGAAAGAAAAGAGAAAGAAGAGAGAAAGAAAGAAATTAGCATCCTTCATCATTGAGATCACTAGACCAGCATATGTTACAACTCAGTCAGAGAGTATATCCTTCATGGACTTCTTAATATATTCATGAACACCTGTACTGCTATTACTTACCATTTTACCTTAAATTGACTTCGTTTTAAATATACATATGATATGTTTCTACTTAAGGTTGTGATTATATATATTTAATGTTTGTATGTGTGTATATTTTCACAACCCCAAATAGAAAATTAATGTCACTAGCTCTACATAGAAAGGGAGATAACTATAAAAATAAAATGGAAAGTCTTTTTTTAGAGAATTGTTTAACTTTATTTGTTTTAATTTGACCAGAGAGGGACAGAGCAAGAGTTAGAGGAAAAGAGAGAGAGAAAGCGAGAAAGCAAGCCACCAGGTCTGGGACTTGAACTGCAGTCAGCCTTATGGGAGACCAGCACCCTTAACCACCACGCCACCTGCTGGCCCCAAAATGGAAAAATCTTTAAAGTTATTACATTTAAGTTAGGTTCCTTGGACTGCCAAAGTTACTAAGCCAGAAGTTTGCATTCTCTTTGTTGAATACAGATTCATCAGTGATAAACGGTTGATAAAGGTTTTCCTTTAATGGTCACAGGAGGTGAGAGGAGGCTCCATACATTGAGCGCTCCTCCTCCCTTGTTCTTTGCCTTATCTCCGCAAGACCCAGATGCTGGTCCAAATGGGCCTCCTGAATATCTTGTGACCATGACCTTCACCTCATGGAATTGCTTATGGTTGGAGCCATTCCAGAGCCATGTGTACCCCTCCCATATTAACATGACTGGATTAGGGACGCTAAACCCTAAATATACTCTGCTGATGCTGTTCGTCAATAAGCTAACCTTTCCTGTACCCTTTGAGCAATATATGCAAAAAACAGACACCTATCTTAGTGATAGAGAGTGCATTGATCTTTTATTGATTTATGAATACTTTGTTCTTGTCATATAAAATCCAAGCTTAAGCTCATGGCCACATGGACCATTCTCCACCCAGCTGTCAGGGAAATTTTATTTCTCCCAGTGTAAGTAAACCCATGTCTTCTGCTGCACCTTTGGTTGTGTTCTTTGGAATTGGTAAACATTGTGGGCAAACTCTTAGAATGGAGGCTTCCCCAGAATAGGAGGAGTGACAGAGAATAAGAAAGGGAATACTGTTCCCACTCTGTAATTTAATAATATTTAATATTGTGTCCATGTACATCTAAAAAGTCTTTGGGGACCTGTTATACTTCAGGAAACACTTTGCTAGATGATGATAGGTGTCTTAAGACTGTAAATGAGCTCACTTGATGTCTCTTGTGTTTGGCACAGTGACACTTCAGGGCAGATTTACTGAGCAAATTCATTAAATAGAAAGCCCAATGCACGTGGTTGAAACCTTCTGAAAATAGTGAAGTCATCATCTTCAAACATGTCACTGACCGAAGACTCTGGTACCTAGTCTCATTGCATTGTAAATCCTGCATCTTTCGGACTTGCTGCAAATGGGAACTTTCCTCTCTTACTGGTTCAAAGAATTAAACTTTATTTTAAGAGCTCAAAACTAAATCTATTACCCCTAATCCCCTATCCAAAGTCCATGAAATAGAGACACACACAGGTGTGTGTGTGTGTGTGTGTGTGTGTGTGTGTGTGTATTTGTCAATGCCTTAGAGCCACTTGAAGAGAATATACTAATTGGGCTGTTGTATTTGTTATGTGTGTTCTCAACATCTATCTGGTTCCAGTAATGGCCCCCAATTTTCCTTCAGATCTAGCCTCTCTCATTTCTCATCAGATATGCCTTAGGGTGTTGGTGGAGAGGGTCCACACCCTCAGCTCAGGTGTTGAACATATAAGCCAGGCTTGAGCCAATCAGCATATCAAACGGTTCTGGTAGGATAATTTGGTACAGGGTTGAACATGGGACACAATCAGAGATGAAATGTTTTCCAGAAATACTGCAAATGGAGGCAGGAACTCTTCCTATATGGGCTATAATTTGACTAAATGAATGGTCCAGAGCAGTGTCCACCATGTTGTTTGTCCTGAAGTTGAGCCTGCTTGGAAGAAAAGCTGATAGAGACAGAAATAATGATAGAGGTAGAGATACTTAATAGATTAGATAGACGATAGGTAGATAGAGGTGAGAGAGAATAAGTAGAAGGAAAACCCTGGACCTAGTGAGATTACTTCAAGCTCTACGTTCAGTCATACCTGAAACCAGCCCAACCACAGAGCTTTTCCCTCAGGTGAGCTGATTAATTCTCTTTTTATTTAAGCAAATTTAAGTTGGAGCCAAATCTCTATCATATATTGTGACTTTCATACAACATGACTTCCCAGAGACTAACATCTGCACATAATATCAGCACTTGAAGATTCTTTGAGAAGTGACTTTAACCGAACCAAAGACCACTTACTGGCCACCACACCATGTCCCCTCCAGCCAGGAAGTAGCCTTTCACTGTGTCTCTTTTGGTCTTCACTGTGGACTGAAACAAAGAAGAGGCATGGCGAGAGAAAATGTTAGCAATCAGAAGTATCCTCAAATGGCCTAGGCCGGAGATCACAAGCTGGGAGTCCAGCAGATACAGATGTAGATATGAAAGATATTTAGTTTTACCTATGGGTTTTAAGAAAATTTTAACTTGAATATCTCTAGAAGAGACATAAACTCTTCAGGTCAACATCATTCTTACCACTCCCTGCTTCACAATATTTGTGATAACCTACTCAATTCCCCCAGATATTTGAGTTTTGGACTCATGGTTTATCAATGATAGTTCTATGTGCTGGACATTTTACTAAGCATTTTATAAGCAATAGCTCATTTTAATCTTTACCAACCCCCATGAGGTTGATGTCAGTAGGTCATTCTAATAGAGGAAGAAACTAAGGTTCATATCTTAGTCTGTTCATGCTGCTATAACAGAATACGTAAGAATGGATAATTTATAAAGAACAAAATTTTATTTCTCACAGTTCTGGAGGCTGGGAATTCCAAGATCAGGGTTCCAGCAGGTTTGATATGTGTGAGGGCCTTTCTTCATGGTGATGGTGCCTATTCTGTGTACTCATATGTCATAAGAGTGGAAAGGCAAAAAAAGGTTACATAGTTCCCTTTAGCATCTTTTATAAGATCTTTAATTCCATGCATAAGGGCTGCACTCTCATGACTTAATCACCTCATAAAGGCCCCACATTTTACTACTATCACATTGGCAATTGAGCTTCAACAATTTGGGGGAAGGGGTGCATTCAGACCAGAGCAGCTCATAAGTGAAGTTACTTATCTAGTGCCACATTTCTAGCTAGTGGAAGGACCGGGAATGCAAAGACTAGATTAGCTTCATTTTGGAGTTCATATTCTTAACTGGTCTACAACACCACCATTAGAAGAGGTGAGTTTTCTGTCATTGAACGTATTTTTATAAAGACATTTGTCCACTAAGTAGCTTGAGTGATCTTAGATAAGTTTCATAAACTTCTGTAAGCCTCTGAATGCAAGTGTTGGTAAGGAAACTCATCATCCAGATGAGAGATGGCGTCAAATGGTCCCTTTTCAGCTCCGCAAATGATCTTGCTATAGAAAACAGCCTCTGCAGCTCTTTCCTGCTTAGCTCTGACATAGGGAGTACTTTCTAAGAATAAAGAACCATGTAAGAGGAACATATATACCCAGGGCTTCCTAAACAGTTTTGCTTTATTTTCTGGTGAAAATACATATTCCAGGACATCCTGACCTTTACCCCAACTCTAATCCTACCCCTAACCCTCATCCCAGGCCTGTCCGACTTAAAAGTCCTTCTTCTTAAGAGCATCTCATTCATGTCTCTACGTCCTCCTAAGGTAGGAGAGGCAGGAAAAGGTCAGACCCACAGTCTTTAGGGTGCCCAGCACTTTTTTCCCTTCTTTGGCCTAGAGGAAGGGCATCTAAGGAGTAAGAGTAGAAAAATGATCTACAAATAGATAAAAGTTGAACACCTTGGTGAGCTACAGTTTTCAAGTCTTTTTTACAGGGTGATCTGAAAATCAGAGCAGCATTCTTATTTCAAAGTTACCAATATTCTTAATAGATAATGAGTTCTTAGAAGTTGATAAGAAAAAGAACAAGAACCTAATAAAAATTGGCAAAAGATACAAAACTGCTATTTACAGAAAGAAAACATAATTAGTCCTTAAACATTTGTAAGGATGACCAGCTTCATCCATTCTAAAATAAATGTATGTTAACAAGAGATTGAGATTTTGTGTGTTTTTTTTTTTTTTTATCAGTTTGAAAAAAGTTTGACAATATACTTAAGGTCAGGTTTAGGGTTGGTGATGATGTCATAAGAAACAAAAAGATTTTTTCATACATTAATTATATGTGTGCAGATTGATCCTAAACCTAGTAAGAGAAATTTGATGCAAACTGTAAGTGCACATATTCTTGAACCTAATGATTTGACTATAGGGAATTTATCCTACCTTATAGCTACATTCCCAAATAATGAGCGTACAAGGTTTGCTTATTAAGGTATAATTTGTAACAGTAACCAGTTTTTATGCAAAACAATCCAAATAATCCTCAGTAGGAGACTAGTCAAATAAATCACAGCACCAGGGCCAGCAGGTGGTGTGATGGTTAAGGTGCTGGACTCCCACATGGCAAGCCGTGATTTGAGTCCTGGACCTGGTGGCTTGCTTTCTCACTTTCCCTCTCTCTCTCTTTCTCTCTCTGGTGAGCACACATGCCCTGCAGCAAATTAGAAAATAATACTAATGATAAATAAATTAAATAAATAATTTTTTTAAAAAGATAAGGAGACTTTTATGTACTGACATGAAAATATATTCAAGAGATACTGATCAGTGAAAAATATCAAGGCAATACATAGTTTGTATAGTAAGCTACCTTCTGTTTAAGAAAGAGAAAATGTGCATGCTAGTATTTGGATTTGCATGTAGAAAATGGAAGAACACACTAAGATACTAACAAGCTAGTAATAGTGGTGACCTATGGAGGAAAGGATAGTAGTGAGAGTTTTCACTGTATGTCTTATTTTTCTTTTTGAACTTTGCGACTGCACTGCCTTTGAAAAAATTCTTTTAAATTAAAAAATAAAAAGGGCATGAGATAAAAAGTAAGGGAGTTAGAGATTCTAAGTTCAGCTCTCCTAACAGGATGAACTTCAATTATTTGAGCCCCCATTTCCTTATCTATAAAAGGGGTGTAGTAATAATATCTTCCTCACAGGGGCTGTGGAAATTCCATAAGGTAACACAAGTGAACATTCAAAACGTAGTGTTTGACACAGAGTGAACACCAAATGCAATTTTAAATTTTTTTAGAGAGATTTTTGTTATAGGGCACATGCTTACTAGAGAAACAGAGATGGAAACCAGAAAAAGCATATAAAATCACTCCCTGGGGGGATGGTAATACTATAATCCCTTCTCCTCCATTCTTGTGTCAGGGTTTGCGGCACTCACGCACATATGCCCAGCGTGAGTTTGAGGCCACTGGGTCCAGGACTTGAACCGTGGTCAACTACATGAGAGTTCAGTGATGTAACTGCTATATCATCTGCTGTTCCCTCAATTTTTAAATTTTAGAGTTCTGCTTACTTCATGACTTTAGCTAGTTTCTTCCTCTTTCAGTCAAGAGTGTATCTGGGCCTCAGGCCAGACATTTTCTTTTCTCCTCATCTCCAACCTCCCCTGACCTGGCTTACCCATAGTCCAACAGCCAGGACAAAGAGGAAGTACAGAACCAGCACTGCAATGTCACCTGGCTCCAGGTTCTTCTGGGGAAAGGCCTCCAGGGAATCTGAGTGCGGAGGCTGAGGGCTGGGGTCACTCTCCATGGTTCTGAATGAACTCAATCCTGAAGAAGTGAAATTGCGAGTCAGTAGCCAGATCCTTGTCATTCTTCTCAGTTCCTTCCCAGGGGTATTACAGAAGGAAGACCCCCATAGGGGGAACATCTGATGGGCTGGGTCTTCAGTAAGGCAGATCCATTTATCCATTCATTTATCCATCCATCCACTTACTGACTCATTCAACAATATAGCAAAGATACATCAAATCTACAGTTGCCTTTGACCAACTCAACCACTCATTTGGCCACACATAAAGAAGCAACAGTTTACATTGTACAGATTACTTCAGCACCCTCTTCCACTTAGTAAACACATGTTCTGGGGTGAGACAAAACACAATCATCTGAGCCAGTCCCAATCTCCAAGATACCTCACAGCTGGCTAAGTAAAAGGCAGTGAACTTTTCTGAGGCTCCACCAGATAGTACAATTTTTTTTCCCCTATGCTGAATATGCTCATAAAATTGTATCTATTTAACAAATACTCTGTGCTAACTCCTGTACACCAGGGTGCATTCTGAGTGTCTGCTAGCCTGCAAAGTGAGTGCTGCTGCTCTCACCCCCAGACAGTGAAGTATAGACACAGAAGAGTGAAGTAACTTGCCCAAGGCTATGCAGCTCAAGTGGTGAAGGTGGGATTTAAGCTCAAACAATCGTGCTCCAGAATCCATTATTTGAACCATCATCCTAAATTCTTTCTCAGGATTCTGTACCTCCATGAGCAACTTAAGGGGCTCTTTTGGTAGGCAGAAAAATCACACACACACACACACACACACACACACACACACATACACACAAAGGTGCTTCTATGTAGTCCTCAGGACTTGTAAATAAGTTGTTACCTGGCAAAGAACAATTACATTTGCAGATAGAACGAAGATTGATAATCAGTTGACCTTACAAGTAGGGAGATGCCTGGATATAGGTAACCCTCAAATAGTGCAATGCCTGGATTAAGATATTGATTTATTTCTATGTTAAGAGGCAATTTTACTCTGTCTCAGCCTCTGGGGATTCAATAATGAAAAGATTCAGCCCCCGCTCTTCATAGTGAGCAGTCCAGTGATGAAACAAATCTGCCATGGACAACACCACCACAATGTGGTGTTTCATAGAGGTGCATAGAGACAGGTCTGTTAAGAATTCTAAATTTAAATAAAATAATTATTAAAAAAAAAAAAAGAATTCAAGCTCAGGCCAGAGGGGGCTTGGTGGTTAAGGCACTGGATACCCACACGGCCAACCACAGTTCGAATTCTGGACCTGCTGATTACTTTCTCACTTTCTCTCTCTCTCTCTCTCTCTCTCTCTCTCTCTCTGGTGAGTGCAAATGCTTTATTGCAAAAATTTTAAAAAATAATAAAAATTTAAAATAAATAAATAAATAATAAACCTTAAAAAAAAAGAAAGCATTCAAATGCAAGAACTAGACAGCTGACTCCATTTGCCAGCCTCAATAACATGGACGAGTTGGGAACCAGCAGTTAGCGTAATGGCTATGTCGCTGGACTCCCATGTAGTCGACCGCGGTTCGCGTCCCGGACCTGGTGGCTTAAAACTCATGCCAGGCGCATGTGCGTGCGTGCCCAAGATCCCGAGAGGAGAATGGAGGAGAAGGGATTGTGGCGTGACCATCCCCCCTGGGGGTGATTTCTCGCTTTCTGTCTGTATGTCTCTCTCTGTCTGTCTGGCGAACGCACACACCCTATAGCGAAAAAAATCTCTCCAAAAAAAAAAGAAAAGAAAAAAAATAACTTGGACGAGTTCCTTAGTCTCTAAGAAATGGACCATTAATGGACCAGCAGTTAGCATAATGGCTATGTCGCTGGATTCCCATGTAGTCGACTATGGTTCACGTCCCGGACTCGGGGGCTTAAAACTCACGCTGGGCGCGTGTGCATGCGTGCCCAAGATCCCGAGAGGAGAATGGAGGAGAATGAAGGAGAAGGGATTGCAGCGTAGCCATCTCCCCTGGGGGGTGATTTCTCGCTTTCTGTCTCTCTGTCTCTCTCTATCTGTCTGGTGAGCACACGTGCCCTATAGCAAAAACCTCTCCAAAAAAAAAAAAAAAAAGAAAGAAAGAAAGAAAGAAATGGACCATTAAGAGCTTCTGTTTCATAGATCAATGTGAGCTAGTGACTGTGATGCATCGAGCCTGAGCATGTTGCCTTGCTCAGAGGCTTTGCTCTGTGAACTGCAGCCACTCTTTCTACTACTACTGCATAACTACTCCTATAGTATTTTCTACAAGATGTAGTGAGGGAAGGATCACTAATCTTACATGGAGGAATCCAGAATACAGCATATGAGCTGTGAAGAATGAGAAGGGGTCCTACGAGGAGAAGTGGGAGTTGGGAAGCATTCCAGCAAAGGCAGACACTGAGGTGCACATAAACAAGCCGTGTTTCAGGGATAATCAGATTCTGAGCATTAAGTAAGGTTCGAGCGAGAGAGACAGGCGGCAAGGCCAGTCAGATGAGGATGTTGTAAGGCCAGTGGTTCTCAGCCTGTCAGACATCATCCCCTCCCCCACTGCTTGTTTTGCTATAGGGCCTGTGCTCTTTCAGGATAGAGACAGAGAAAGAGACAGAAAGGGAGAAATAAGAAAGCACCCCTCAGGGGGATACCATGTCACAATCACTTCTCCTATATTATCCTCTTGGGATTTTTCACACAAACACACATATCCAGTGTGTTTTTCAAACCTTCAGATTCGAGACTTGAACCATGCAGTCAGCCGCGTGGGATCCAGCTGCTTTAACCTCCATGTCACCTGGCCAGTCCCATCCCCTGTTTTCATGACGAATATTTTGTAACACCTCTTTTACTGGAATACTAAAATAAAACTCACAGTTAATGTTACCGATGTGTACACATATATACTCTTTAAAGCACAGTGCTCTAACTGCAGAATAAAAAAGAAATAAAAGAGAATTAATGATAAAACAATGAATGTCTCCACATGTAAATTCTCTCGTTTGTCTCCATTAGAAGACCCCAAGTGATAATCTGATGCTCTCACCTACTATAAGGAATAAGTTTTGGATTTAAGAGAAACAAGAACATCAGAAGTCATTCCATCCAGAAGCACAGAATAATTGAAGAGTGAATCTATAGAGGAACACCAGAATAAATAAATGAATTAATTAAAAAAAAAGAAACTAATATCCACACCGGATGCTTAAATTTGCAAAAGTGTTTATGATTTTAAATATTATGAAGAAGCCCAAGCAATCACCACAATTTTTTAAAACAATGATTTATTTAATTTTCTTTAGTATTATTATTTGTTAGTTTGACCAAAGACACACACACAGAGAGAGAGAGAGAGAAAGAGAGAGATAGAGAAGTGAGAAAGCAAGCCACTAGGTCCAGGATTCAAACTGCAATCAGCCATGTGGGAGTCCAGGGCCTTCGCCACCATGCCACCTGCTAACACTGGCATAATTTTATTAATTACAGAGAGAGTCCTCTGAAAAATATGTGAGACCATATGGAGGACATAAAAAATGGGTACTTTTTTTAAGTTAAAAAAAAAAAACCTAACACTGTTTTATGTAAATGAGTAGGTTCTCAACTCAGTTATAAACTTTGTTTTCATTTTTCTTTTTTTTTTTTTTTTTTTCATTTTTTTTTTTTTTTTTTTTTTTTTGCCACAGGAGTGTCTGGTGAGACATCTGAGAGGCTTTGCTGTGTAAGGCAGTTCTATGTATTTCAAGATATCTTGCATCTCTGGCCTCCACTGACTGAGTGCCAGGAAGTCCTCCTAAATTGTTGTGATATCTAAATGCTCTCATAGATTTCAAAACATCAGCTGAAGGGCGTCAGCACCTCCACTGCACACCTCTGCTTGAGGTTAAAGGTTAACATTGAAGAGTTAGAAAAAATTATTTAATCTTATTCATTATCATTGTTATTTTTCAAATTTGCTGTAGGGCATGTGCATTCACCAGAGAGAGACAGAGAGAGGAAAAGCGAGAAAGCAAGCTGGCAGGTCTGGGATTCAAACTGTGGTTGACCATGTGGGAGTCCAGCACCTCAACCACCACACCACCTGCTGGCCTCTCCACTGAAGAATTTTTAATAACAAAGGGATATGATCAGATTGGGGTGGGAAGGCTTGGCTAGGAGCCAGACGTGGACAGGAAAATTATTCTGAGGTAATGACTCGGGGTAAGAGAGAGTGGGTTAGAGAAATAATTTAGAGTTAGCGTCCATAGGAGTTAGTGATTGACAGGGCAAGTGAGGGAGAAGGAGGACTGGGGAGCAATTTCTGCTTCTAATAAGAGTTGCTCAAAGACAGAATGATCTGGTTGCCTGGGCAGAACGCTCCCTGTCCTAGGAGCAGGGTTTCTCATTCTTGAGGTTATTGACATTTTGGACTAGATAATTCTTCATTGTGGGAGTATGGCCCATGCATTTTTTAAATTATTCCATGAGTGAGAAGGGCATAGACAGAGATACAGAGAGACAGGCACCCTGACAGGTCGATCCACCCCCAGCCTCAGCCAGGCCCAGACCATGGACACATACATGCCCAGTGTACCCAGGGAGGTCTCTGGACATGAACCAGGAACTCTCCCATGTGGGTCTGTCTCACAGAGCATTGCCTTTTGCTACTGTGACACTGTATGGCTACCTATGAAGTGCCAGTAGCCCCTGAGTCATGGCAAACCAAACATTCCCTGGTGCAGAATCTGCCTCCATTGAGGGCCACTGTCTTAGAGACTGAAAAGGGGAGGTTGGGTGTTCACTTAGTGGAGATGCCATTGGGGGAGGGGAGGGACTCTCTCAGTGATCTGTAAGGTCCCTTCTCGTGTTCAAAGTATAGCTTTGAACTTCCTTCCCTGGGATTGGGCCTTGCTCCTGTTCAGCAGATGCTCACAGCTTCTCAGGCCTGGGACATGGCAGCTGTCTCTAAGGAAGAGATGGAAGCAAGCATTGATCTGTAGCACTTCTGGAAAGGAAAGATGGAAAGAAGGAAGGAAGGAAGGAAGGAAGGA